GTATGGTTGGTGACCGGTTAGATACGGACATCGCTTTCGGTCGCAACAACGGCCTCAAGACCTGCTTGACTTTGTCTGGCGTGACCTCTGAGGATGAGCTGATGGACCGTGCCCCACGCAAGAAGGGCACCGAGGGCATCCAGCCCGAGTTCTACGTCGAGACCATCAACGATTTCTACCCTGGAGTTGCAAGGTGACATCCGGCGACCTCAATGGCTGAGATTGCCATGCCTGCATGTGCTTTCTATCCCTGTTTGTCCGAGACAATGACGATACTGCTGCCTGCCGTAGCATAGGCCAAAATACTGTATGCTACCGTTTAAGGGCTTGTGACAGGGTTTTCCATCAACTCTGACTCGATGTGAGCACAGGAAGACTGTGTTCTGCATTGTTCTGCACAGACCTGATGTACAAACAATTTTCCGCGGCGTGTCCTCCCAAACGCAAGCTCATGCCTGTGGGCAGGAAGACAAGCTTAGACAAACAGACAGGTGGTGCGAGCAAAAGTCAGTCGAATTTGGCCCCAGCGCGTGTTGATGTAACTCTGCACATTATCCGTCTGCGCATTGTTGGCTTGATTGTAGTCCAGCTCACGGCAACACACCGTTCGATGTCACAGCTTGACTCCTCCTTCAGAGATTTACATGCACTTGTAAATTCAAAAGGTTTGACCACCTGCATCAGTGCCAACGATGAGTCAGACAGAATGCCTGCAGTTCATGAGACCAGACATCCAGGCATAAGTCTCAGCAGGCAATTTGCAAGCACTGAGAATGTCCCATGCCGAGAAGTTGCACGAGCCATCCAAGCTTCTTTCGAGCGTGGATGTATTCATTTTTGACTGCGATGGTGTGATTTGGCGTGGTGATGCCCTTATTGCTGGAGTGCCTTCAGTGCTAGATCAGCTAAGATGCCTTGGGAAGAAAATCTTCTTTGTAACCAACAACTCTACGAAAAGTCGTGTGGGGTACAAGGGCAAGTTCACTTCCCTCGGCCTGGACGTGCAGCCCGAAGAAATCTTTTCCTCGTCTTTCGCCGCTGCGGCCTACCTAGAACAGACCAGCTTCAAGCAGACTGGCAAAAAGGTTTACATCATCGGAGAGAAAGGAATTGGCGAAGAGCTAGATTTGATTGGAATTCCATGGCTGGGTGGGGAAGCTGACAAGGAAAAGAAAGCAGACATGGGTCCTGGCGGCAGGGTGGAGATTGATCACGACGTGGGCGCAGTCGTGGTTGGCTTTGATCGCCACATCAACTACTACAAGTTGCAGTACGCCCAGCTTTGCCTGAACGAGCTGCCGGGATGTGAGTTCATTGCCACAAACTTGGACCGGGTGACCCACTTGACTGATGCGCAGGAGTGGGCTGGAAATGGGACGATGGTAGGAGCTGTCTCTGGCTGCACTGGCCGGGAGCCCACTTTGGTAGGCAAGCCTGCCCCACTCATGATTGATTACATTGCCAAGAAGTATGGCATCACAGACCGTTCCCGCATCTGTATGGTTGGTGACCGGTTAGATACTTTGTCTGGCGTGACCTCTGAGGATGAGCTGATGGACCGTGCCCCACGCAAGAAGGGCACCGAGGGCATCCAGCCCGAGTTCTACGTCGAGACCATCAACGATTTCATGTCGGTTTCTAAGGAGGACTAATGCAGATAAAGCCAGGTTACCCAAAGTTGCTGGAGGCTGTGCTGGATGAAATTCGTTCCAGAGCCTGTCTCACCATGATGCCGCCGCATGCAAAGCAACTATGGAAGCATGTGATGCTAACTCAGAAATTGTTGCATTTCGTTAATGAATGTGGGATCCTTAAGGATGCTCCTGTATGCTCCTGTGATTTGTTGCGCCTGGCTTGACGATTCAAGGGGAGGGACAGGCTTTGCGGCGACGGCCTGGCGAAGGCAAGTGACAGTGGGTTCGAATCTGCTCAAGCGTAGCTATGCGTAGCTGTGTTCTGGAAGGCAGGATGCCGCCAAAGAAGCCCCAGGTGCTTTGAGAAACAGTCAGAATGTCTGGAGATGTCTGGAGACCATGCGCTTAGCTCGGCAGGTTGCTGAGCCTGTGGAAGAGGAGGTCAAGGCCCAGCGGCAGCAAAGAGCAAAGCATGTCGCATGCGCCATGTGACATCATGTGGCATCATGTGGCTCTGAAGACTCCTAGGAAGAACCACCTCCAGAAATACTACAGGGGGACTTTGTCTGGTGCTAAGCACATTGGAGCTGCGACTCCATCCTGAAGCAATGTGTTGTGCTACGAGGTATTTCCAGATGGCTCATCGTATTCAGGACAATATGTCAAGAAAGGCTCCATTATGTGGGCACATGCTAACGGCATCCCGCTCAGAGACGGCCGTTGTGCTGGCAAGGTGAGTCAATTTCCTTGCATGGCGATGGTCACCTGCAGAGTGGCCCTCAAACCTTTGAGGCCCAGAAGAAGTTTCTGCAGGGGAGGATAAGCAATGCTCTTCAATTTAGTACCCCTGTCTGAGTGAGCCGAGCAGTTGCGCCAGGGCTCCTTTGAAAACGGGATGTACAAGGCTGGAGCTTCCAGCCGCTTCTGTCCACTTTGGCAAGCCTTTCATACTTTTTGTCTTATTGTGGAGTCGTGGAAAGCTTGTGCTCAGATGGGTCGTTACAGCAGCTGCAGTGGGGCGGCACGGGGCCTAGATGGAACCTGCCAGCCTCACCCTTCAGATCCTTGAGCAGTTCCAGCCCTCACTGAATCAGAGCTTTGCCATGGGCCATGAGGTGTACACAGGACACTTTCGAAATAACCAGTTCCATGGCGCAACTAGGCTGCAGAGGGATCACAGGTTGCAACGTTGTTAGGATTGAAGGATTGAGCATGCCATTTGTGGCTAAGCACTGAGAAGGTATTATGCAGTGCCATTTATCCTGCTCGTGAGCTGGCGCCAAGTCTGGTGCGCAAAGAGCTTTTTGATGAAATCTCTCTCTCTCTCTCTCTCTCTCTCTCTCTATGTCAAAAGCAATGATTTTGTTTGCGTTTGACCTCGAGGTCAAATGCACCAAGTCCCCAAACTTAGCGTCAAATGCGGAAGAGCACATGAGTTGACATATCGCTTTACTCCACGAAAGATTGGCGAGAGGCAGTAGGCAGCATACACGCTAGCACTGTTGAGCATAAAACGGCCTGACAAATGAGGTTGGTGATTACAAATGGCCTGACGGTCGAGAATATCGTGGCACGTCCGCGGCCTTGCACGCCTTAGAAGTAAGTAGCCGCTGAGTATGCAGGTAGTGCAGAGATCCGTCAAGACAAGGTGGAAAGATGGCTACATGCATGGCTATGGAATGTACCTCTATTTCTCTGTTGGAGCAGACAAGGCAGCGGAAGCGAGGGTCTCTCTTTAATTTCCCATGCAGCACCCTGTCTCTCAGCGCTTCACGGGCTTCTCGATGAACGGCAAGTTTGCCTCGGGAGCTGCAGAACAGGAGGAGGCTGTGATATTTGTAAAGTTGTTGCTTAGTGCAGCGCATGTCTTGCCATGGCTTTTCAACAGCTCATTGACTACAGAGGCCACTATGAAGGCTTTCTTGCAGGAGTATGGCACTCAGTGCGCCAGAGTCCCGGCTAGGATTGAAGTCTTCGTCAAACTCGCAGAGGGGTGTGCTGCAATTCAAGTTGTTCTGAGACAACAACCGGAGTTCGTTTCTGCCGTTGCTTCAGGTTCAGAGTGCAACAGCAGCCTTACGAGATCTGGTAGAGAAGGCAGCTGCCGATGGTGCACTGCACTCAGCGGCATCATAGAATGCAATGCCAGCCTTCGTTCTTTTCCTTCGCATCTTGTGCCCCGATTTCAAATCATGATAGCTTCCATGCGTTGGTCACAACTGGCATGATTCTAAGGTACCAGCAGACTTCTTGGTTGCCAAGGCCATAGAAACTCCCAAGCCGCTCTGTGAGTTTGGATCTGATGCTTCCAGCAGTGCACTGCCATCTCCTTTTTACATACAGATTGCAGAACCTTTGGAAGATGTTGCTGGAAGGACGGGGATGGCAAGGCCGAAAAGAGTGTAGAGGACCTGCATTCTGTGCCTGCAGAATCGCCCCTGGCCACGGACAGAGGCGACAGATTAGCGTCAACAGGCAGATGAGACTTCATGGGAAAGAATTTGGCATGAGCACCCTATGGCTGAACATCATACACCTCGCGTGCACCTTGAAGGACATGGTGTCGGCACCGTATCCAGAAGCTTCTGTGGCGACGCAGGTTGAGCATGAGCTGTCATTTGTGTGGCCTCTCTCTGCATGCTAGGCCAACAACTGCGTAGGCTAGCAGTCAATTCCACCTTTTGCTCTTGCAGGCTTCACTGCAAGCCTTTTCAGCGCGGCTCTTCGCAGAAGAGCAGCCGCTGCAAGCTATCTGATTGCATGTGTATATTTTCATTTAAGATAGCTGTCGGCTTCTTCACACCCCGCCGCATTTTCACCCTGTGTCAACGCATTGTAGGATGTACAAAAAAGTAATGCTAGTGCCATTTGCGCAGCTTGATTGAGCTTGATTGATGGAACGTCGCTGAGGTCTCCATTTACACTGGTCTCAGCAACAAGAAATTGATGCTGTCACTCAATGAGGCTGGACCTTCCTAACCTGCTTTTGCAAAATGACCGTTCGTCCCTGGCTCCCTTCCTACACCTTTTTGCACAAAACTCCATTTGCCACAGGCACTTGAGTGATGTTGCTCGCCGTGTGTACAATCGGAGCGAGAAATGTTTTGACCTGTTTGTGTGAGACCATCACGCACATTGCTGGGCCAATGTTGATCCCAACTCTGGATATCCTGGTTTTCGCGGGTCTCTAAGCGTAAGCCTTGCAGGAATCCTCGTTTTCTTGCCTTGGCGCAGAAGACGTGCGGATGGATGGGGCAAGACTAAAGCGACAGCAGCTGCAAGTTGCGAGAGCCTTGGAAGAATGTGATGTCGGTGTATATCTTGCAGCATCATCCACCTGGTTGTATCCTGGTTGTATGACTCTGTATGACGTAGCCCATGATTTTGTACCTCTGCCAGAACGCGGCTGAGTTTTGAATTAGCAGCCTCTGCTCTGAAGCCAGGCAGGCCAGGCGGTGGAGTTTTTCTTGGACTCTGAAGCCGCTCCTTGGCTCTAAGTGTGTTAAGTGAGTGTTCAGATGCTTAGCTGCTTTCCTCACGGCTGGAAGCTGCTTAGGCAGGAGCTTTGCGGGTCCTGGTGCTCGTGAACATGGCTTCCGAGTTCGTCAACAGCTGAGAACGTAATTAGAATACCGCTGAGCTGGCATGTCAAGAGTCTGTGGCCAAGGAGTGGGAAGCCGCAAAATGGAAGCTTGTACATTGCGAAAGTGCGTGAGCCGAAGGAACGTTAGGAGAGACGATGCCTCAACACAGTTCAAAACAATCTATGTCTAATTTGCACAAAATTCCTCTGAAGTAAGCGAGGCTCACACTCACGTGTGACCCAACATTTGCATGAAGTTGGGTTGTCGGTTGTCGGGCTCACCTACTGAACGTGCCTTGGCAACTTCACTTTCCAGACTGTTTCGGAGGCTATCAAGTACAGGCATAGTCTCGCGATGTGTTGTGAGAGGCATTCATGAGTGATTCGGTGTCTATCTAAGAGGTGCAAGTATTTGCAGAAAGAGCTCGTGTCGTTTTGTGCACCGTTAAGCGGGCTGCTTTAGCTGCCTTGTGTCACATTGCATGAGCTAGCCCTCCTGAGCAGACGTCGCCGAGTTATCAGCTGAGCAGAAATCTTGCCGGCTGAAAAAGTTAAGTTGCTGTGCTTGCACAGTGGCATGCCACTAGCATTTCCAGGCACAGCAGGTTTGTTTCGATGCGCTGCTACATCAGACCGGGCAAAGGGGAGTTTGGATTCATAACGGGCCAGCTCTTAGTCCGATCATGTGAAGCGGCGAAGATGTGCAGTTTCCTTGCTTTGGATATTTGGTGTGTATGGGAGACAGGGCATGCACGGCCAAATGTAAGCTGCTGCCCCACCTGGCTTAGAAGATGCCCGCCAATTTTCGCAAAGTCCGGTCATTTGCCTCTGAGGCTGGACTGCTGTGGCACGTTCTATTTTCACATGTGCTGATGTATCAATGTCAAGACAGTGCGTGGTGCTTGGTACGCTCCTCACTTGCCTGGCGCCTGCCAGGCTTGCACTACTTCTGCGCGTCGACCTTGATGAACGAGTGCTGAGGCCAATTCCTGTTCAAGTTGGCTACAGAATCGTTTGGAAAGGTCAGCCTGCTTGGTTTTGTATGGGCTTTGTCGTACCTGGGTTGTTGGCTTTCTGCGCTAAGTTCCCATTGGGATTGTGCAGGCAGCATACTGAGATCTTTTCTGAGATGTAAGACGCGTTGTGTTGCAGGTCCAGTCTTCATCTCTGCGGCTAAGACCTATGCTGATGTCACAGACAATCATGCAAAACAAGTGAGAGGTTGCAACATGCAGGCGCTGCCAGGAGAGTGCCAGTTCTTGCAATTTCCATGCTATGGAGGCTCTGCAAGTATAAAAGGTGCGTGTGCAAGGCCACCCAGTGCAAGCGTGCAGAACAGGGGTCTCGTCACAGATGTAGCGCGTCTGTCGCAGTCATGACATGCCTCTACAGAGTACCGTAGCACCATCAGCGCAGGTCTTGCGACTGCATGCTGAAAGTTGTCCAGATACGCCATGTTGACAGCCATATTTTGAAAGCCGTCACTATGAGTGCCACAGACATCCTGGAATCATGAAGAGTAACAGCACATCACACCACAACGTGCATCCATCCAGTTGCGGGCTCTGCCGGGACAGGCCACAACCTTCTTTCCATAGTACTGCTTCGTGCTCGTGGACCAAATCCACGCTTCCGCCTGCATGCCATTGCGCAATTCTCCGCCTGCAACCAAAAGGGAGGGCTCAAGACCTTGCCGGATGTGTGATCCCATCAGATAGCACGACATGCAGTGCCTGCAGCCCTGGGCTGTGAAAAGGTTTTCCTTTCTGTCCACTCTAAGCTCCCTGGCTTCAAGCCGCCAGGGAGCTTCGCTTAGCTTGAATCGGTGCATTCCTTGTGCGTTTTGTGCTCTTTGTGCACTCGATGCGCTTGGAGCTTACCATGGTGAAGCTGCCATGTGAGAAGCATCGCGTCACTTTTGCCAAGAGTCTGGGATACTTCCTGCCAGGAGTTCATGGATCACAATCTTGTCACTAGGCCTTCAACATTTGCCGGGCCGGGGGGGCGGGTTCAGCCCCCAAGACCTCAATCTGATGCGTCTTGTCAAGTGGATGTCAATGCAGCAGAAGGAGCAGCAGCAAGACTAGCAGTGGCAGAGGTGACCTCAATCTCAAAGCCCCTTCTGGAGTCACTTCTCCTCTAAATGCTGTAGCAGAGCGGAAGTAGTTTGAAGGTGGGAGTCGTGCTTGGACTTTGAGCTAGTGTGGTTTGGCTTATGCTGCCTGGTCGATGCGCGTGGGACTCCATCCCTCAGTCAACACCGCCAAGACCAGGCGCTCTTTGAGAACTGTTAGCCTCTATTCCAGACGTTCCTGCATAGCAGGGAGTGTGTAAATATTGTAAATGTATGTGTGTCAAGAAGAGGGACCTCCTTATGTCCCCGGTCGCGGATCTGGCAGAGATCATCCACAGTCCTAAAACTTTTGACGCACACAGCAAAGTGCCCATCCCGGTCGATCTGGCGGCCAGTCTAGTCTGCAGTTGCAGGCAGGTTGTCTCTCGAGAACGCCTCAGAATTTCGTGCGGAGGTAGATCTGTCAAGGGCACGGGCGTGGGCTGCACGCCTGGAATGCTGGGCTCGATGTCATCCGTACTCAATCGTGATCCTGTGAGTCTTTGTCAGCAATCCGCCTGGAAAAGAAACTCCGCAGCTTTTAGTGATGGCCCCTTTGGTGTCACAGGCATCTGGGTGGAAGCTCTCTGCCAACCTGTAAAGCTCAGAGCGCTTGCCGTGGAATTGTGGCGATGGAAGTGCAGAACTTGTCTGAATGGCTTCAGCATTGCTTGGCAGCTGGACAAGCACGGGATTTCATCCCTAGGAGTTCTGCTCCAAGGCCGGTAAGTCTTTGCCATGGCAACCTTCCAGATTTCAAGCCCTGATGGCCTTCGCTAGTCTCTCATGCTAAGCGGCTAGTCGTAGCTCCTGGCCCGTACGGCCGGGTGATGGGGTGAGGAGGGTGAGGCTGCGTGCTTCAAGCATCTCCAAGCATGCATTTGCCCATGCATCTGCCTATGGTGGCTTTCTGCCGCCTCCATTCTTGTTTGCCCTTGGTCGGTATTGGAAGGTATCGAGCCAGGGAATTTGTACATCGTTCGGGCAGACGCCGCCCAGTGCATAGCTGTACTGCACCTTCCAGGCTCGGCTCACCTGTGTTGACGTGTCGCTGTGCGACGTAACGCTAAGTGCCGACGAGCAATTTCTGGTGTTGCCGCGAGCCACGTGCATGCACGTAGTCTGCTGCGCAAGTGAGCCCGCATCAAATATTCTAAGACAATCTCACAAATGTTTCTTTCACTTGAAAGGCGCAGTATCGGGGATGTTTGGTCCAGCTGCAGGGTTGTCGCAGGGAGCATGTTAGCATGCTAGGGTAAGCGCAGCTAAGCGATAGAGCAATCCATCGACCAAGCCGGGCCGCTCTTAGCCTCTCGGATTCCCGGTGGCCGGGCTTTCTGTTTAGCACTTTGGGAACGTACATCGGGAAGGGTTCGTGCGGTCAAGGAGCGAAGGCCAGGAGATTGCTTTTGGATTAAAGCCCTCGCGCTGAGAGGTCGCGTCAAAGCATCTGTTGCTTTGCCAGACTTGCTCTCAGCCAACTTCCCCATGCATTGCAGCACATCCCTCAAGTGCGCCTGCTGTGCATGCGATTTGGGCCAGGTTTGCGGCGGTTCTTTGACAAGCGGACCTACACTTAGCATGCCACCCGTCAAATCACTTGGTTCCTTCATGTCTGATCCGACGATTTGTCGCATAACTTGGCTGTCTTTGTTCCCAGACTTATACATCTGCCGTCCACAAATCGCTTAGAGCTTGTATGCTGGTAACTGTCAGTAGAATATTATTATTAAGCCCCGGAAGCCAGGCTGGATGACATCCGCATTGGCATGCGTTGGGAAGTTGGCTTGTCGCAGCGGAAGGGGACAAAAGGGACGCGGAAAAGCCAGGCCTTGGACCATCTGGGGGCAACCTACAAGAACTTGTACTTAGCTTCTTAAGGAAGTCTTGCAAAGAGCGGGAAGATCCTTAAATTAATCCTCGCCCAGTCGCGCCTCACGTGCTGGCTGGAGATCCGTCCTCATGCGGTCTGTCCTCAGCTTTGAGCTCTCAGCAGCTCTCAGCATCAATGATGCGCCTTGTAAGCCTCGACCCTGGACGTGAAGGCAGATAAAGTAGAGCAGTGGGATCGCACCTGACCAGACCAAGCCACTGAGCCACTGAACGCACCGGGTTGCTCTTTAGCATAGCAGCATAGCTCTGAGCACAACATGCTTGGCAACTGCAGATGTTTACGAGGCGTAGGTCCAGTGTAGGTGCCAGCCGGCTCTCAGTGAGTTCAGTGGCTCGTTGTCATTGCGATGGACGCAGAGGCCTGGAAGCTTCTGCCCGCGTATGTTCCTAGCAGAGAGCACCTGCAAGATCCACCCGCAGAGTTTGCTTCTCAAGCGAGCACATGCTGCATCAGAAGCCTTGCTTCGATTGTGCTTCAGAATGTTGCATGGGTGCTTATTAGACTGCCTTGGCAGTCCTACTCAAGCTCGGGCATTTCCCGCAGCGAGTGGCGAGCCACAGTGCCGCTGCGCAGCACCGATCGTCAGACGGATTCAAGTTGGCCAGCCAGACGGCATGCACTGCTAGCAAGGGGGAGGCAGAGGACATGAGTTCCAAGACAGAATAATGTGGGCATCAAATTCATCAAGACCTAGTTAGGTCCTAGTCGTAGAGCGATCCTGAAAGTGAGGGACAAGCGGCCTCTTCCTGGCTTATTGAAGAGATGCTGCCAAGCTCCACGTCGGAGCGGGCAATGACTGTCTGCGCCTGCAGCATGTGGTGCTCGCACGCAGCGCCAGGTGTGCGGAGGTCCTCCCATGATGTTCGCGAGATCCTCGTGGGAGAGCATGCCTTGGACCGATGCCATCCGATGCTTTCGAGTCAGGTTCTTGAGGATTAGTCCTGCTTGGCGGAATGATGGCTGTACGATGATATGCAGGTGGATCTTCTAGAGCGCTTTGATGTTGAAAATTAACTGATAGAGGGCCACATCAGCTGGTTGCAAGAGCTCACTGCTTCACGCAGTCTCCGAAACAGCTACTTGAATGCTGAAGCCAATGCAACGAAAGTCTTGATGTACGTAGAG